TCATTGGTTTCTTACCCTCTTCAGATCTGTTTGGGTCAGATTTCAAAAAGTCTATAGGTAGTATTCCAGAAAGAATCAAGTATTTTCGCCTCAAAAGCCCTATCACTCTTTCAACGTGGATTCGGACATTAGCTATGCCCCGTGTTCTCTCGACATCCTCAGGGTCCAACTGGTCTTTACCCTTTGTAAAGGCAGGCATTGCAAGTTCTGCCCTTTGGCACATTAAGGATTCTTGGATAGTGAACCCCCTGTCTGCCAGAACAAGGTCACCAGGTAACAATTTTTTTAAGATGCCACAGTGTTCAGTAATGTACTTGTCAGATGTCCTGCCACCCCATGCCTCTGAAACAAAGGAGATGCTTCCTTGGGGGCTTACACCAATTAGTATTTTCACTGTGTTGTGGCTTTTATARTTAGAGTATGTCTGTGCTCTTGCCATTAGATTAGAAGGTCTATTTATAAAAACCTCAAAACAATCAATAATTACTGTGGTTCTGTTTCCAAATGCAAAGTGAAAACACTGAGGCCTAGTACGCCACAATTCTTCACGCTCAGGCCACTTTATTAATGGAGCAAGTCTTATGTCTAAGGCTGTCATCCACGCTAAAAATATTCTGGATACCGTAGCTTGAGATATGTCAAATTGGTAAGCTAAATCTTGCATTGGCATGTTCCATTTTAGCTTCATGAGAGTAAGTACTAACTCTTGAAATGAAGACAAAGTAGGTGATCGCCTCGGAACATGTGGTGAAACATGCTGATAAACGACTTTTAATATACCAAAAGTCGGCAATCCAGTGTAGAATCTCACCTTTCCATCGTCATTAACAAATTCGCTCTGATCATAACGTGCGGCTTTGTTGTTTGAGTTATGAAATAAAAAATCAAACTCCTCAGTTTGTGTCTCAGCCTCGATGGTTCTCGATTGTGAATCTGTTTTAAATGRCATATCTTTTATCTTCTTCTGTCTTTTAGCTTCTCTCTCAGCCTCACGTTGGAGTTCTTYTTCTTTTGCAAGTTCTCTCTTCGCTTCTAAGCCCCTTGCTCTCTTCTCACGTTTATCGGCTGTTTCTAAATTTGAGAGATACTTTTCCCCCGAAGCACGTTTATTATGGCCCAAATCCAATGACGGTATCCAGTCTGGGTGATTTCTTTGCATTAGAGGAGCTGGTTGTCCCGAAACAAAATGCTTTCCACAAACGCGACCACTTTCCAAAATGGCGTCGGTAAGGTCTTCTCTACTAATCGCCGAAATCCACGAATTTCGACGTTCCTCAGACAATTTTTTCACTTCTTCGCCTTGGTTTGTGATAATGGAAGGTATCCTTGCCATATGAATACCTTTATCTCGCCCACTTCGGGTCCCACAACCGACTATCGCGCATAAAACCATTTTCTTAACCTCTTCGCTTTGTAATTTATTTGTATTACATGTGCACCAATATGGCGGCCGATTAATGAATAGGTCACGTGACTGAATACGATCTATAGTTATAGTTTCCTTTAAAAGATATAAAGCACTATAATACATTTCATCTAACAAAGCACATCACATGCCCATGATGCAATGCGCAACGTCCAGAACATCTCATTATGGGCTAAAAAGGAATCATTAGAATTGTTTTTTGCTATATAAAGGACGAAATACTGGCTTGTTTAATACTAAAATACCTTCTAATACTATTTATTCGTTATTTGCGTGGAATAACTATTTGGGGCTTGCATAGAGTACAAAATAATGCTCCCTTAGGAACAATAGTGTGCGTGCGCAAGACATTGTTAGACGTGACGTCATTGTGTCGGATCTGTCATTCAAACACGTGGTGTGCAGTACTGCGCGATTATAGATGGATACCCAGCTTTGAGTAAGCTTTTGACCGACTGACGAGCAATAGTTTTGAAAGACCATATAACTACGACGTCAATAGGTCTAGAACCCAGTGTATAAGCACGTGCGAGTCTGAGAAGTGGTCTTTAAAGCTTGTAACGTATATTCCTGCATATAATGGTATCTTAAATGGACATTAGCGCAGTGAATGGCGCTGGCTTTGTAACCAATGTTGGCGAATGGTCGGACCAGGCCGACTCTCTTTCCCAACAACGGCTCAAATTCTTCTATCTCAGAATCCTCGAATTCTAGTTTGCTACTTGCCCAGACCTCGGAGAGCTTTACTCCGATCCCGGATCCACACAAGAATGGACTTGATCAGCGAGTAAAAAGTAACGACCGACATATATTGGATGAAATAGACGAGTTCACCGAGGGCTCAAACCGCCAGACAAACTCAAATAACAATAATAAATCGCATTTTTGGCCCAACAAAATGGCGGCTACGAACGCTAGCGGTCCCAATCAACAACTTTCAAATACAAACGGTTTTCCGTTGTCAATGGCCAGTAGTTCAGGGATGCCGAATAAAGCAGGAACACCATCGTTGAATATATCACCGTCTGTACATAATAATGAAGTGACTAACATGTTGGACCAAGCCAGTGGAAACATTTCGAATCCTACTTCTGCTAGTATGAATATTTCAAGCTCTAGTTTGCCTTCATCGAATCAATATAATGTATTCAGTTCAAGACAGGAACTACTTCTGCACGGCTTTCAGGCCGGATCTCGTTCTAGTAATGCTGGTCATGAAATCTCCAATCCCACAATGCGTGGAGCGCCGAACGCTTCTGAACAATATGGCTCACCTCAACAAAGATCTTACATCTCTGCTTCAAATGAATCCCAAATACGAAGCTTAAATCGACAGACCCCGAGCCCCTTTTCCTCAAATTATTTTTCCCACGAGTCACACAACACTCAATCTGGTTCTAGAGTCGCTAGTTCGAAATCAGAGGACAGAACTTTGAGTTCTGGTGAACACTTTCAATGGCAACAACCTCCACATCGCTACCAAAAGAGCCATTCTTCTAACCCTTCGCCTGGTCAGTCTTTAAGTCGTAGTCCAATGCAGGTAAGTGGTCTAAACCTACATTCAACAATAAACAATATTAAAAACTTTGATAGTATTCTGTTTTTAACCAACCGGTGAATATTATAGGCAGGAAAGAAAAATACTCGAGGCAATCCGCAGACTTGAAATATTTATCATTTTGGTGAACGGCGAAAATGGCGGCTTCGAAGCGTTAAGGAGAGATCATGTTTCACCGTTCTTTTGTAGAATATATCAACTAGAGTAAAGATAGTTTTCTTTGGAAAATAAAGTTGAACCAAAATGTAAATGAAATGTTATTTTGAAAGATATTTGAAGGATAAGATGATGTTAGGTTTTTCCAAGTTTGTCTAGCACCTGGGATGTGTGGTAGTGTGCGCAGACGTCCATCAATAATAACCGAACCTACATTCAGACACGAACACTTTACAGGCTTCCCGCGGATTTGTTTCAATTTTTATTGTTGACCTTTTTAAACAGTATCCAAATATGATAAGGTGGATTTAACTATTTAGGTATTATCTAATACAATGATCCAAACATTGAACTTAGAATCATGTCTAGCCCATCTAATTGTCTACATAAGTACATCGGAGATATCTTACGTCTTGCTATGTATTGTTGATGAACTACTCATCCTGACAAAGTCAATATATTGTCAAATCCAAAGTCAATAATGATTGCATGTGTTACTATAATCTTTCAGATAAAGGAACATCATGCATGGTAGTAGTAGATGATAGAAGTGTAAGCTATATTGCTTCAGCATCAGTAATCACTTTTGTATTTAGCATATTCATAGAAACACGTTTTACTGTTTTATGCTTGAATGTTGTACACGATTGTACAGAAATTGTAAAATATAAATTGCTGTTTCGAATGTATCAAAAAGAAACTAAAATTCTGTTAGTTTCAAAGTTAAGAAACTTTGTAAAGCTGATGTATGGTAAGGTTTTAAAAAAATAATATCAAGGCAGTGTTGTACAAAAGAAAAATACATTATTGAACTGAAAATTGAATTTAGAAGCAAGAAAAAAAACAATTGTATATTTAAAGATAAGGCTTTATATGACTCATTGAGCTTCAAGAAATGATGGTGTTTAAAGATAACTTTAGCTTTTCTGAAGGGTTTTAATTCTATTATATATCATATGATTTAATTGTAGAATAGGGCAGAACAGAGGTATGGAGTATGGATACTACTAGCAAAAACTGATTATCATCAATACACAATATTATTATTAGTGATCAACTTTTTGATGTGTACTTTAATTCTGCACAGCAACCAAGTATGCCTCCTCGTCAGCCACCACCATACATGATGTCACAACAGCCATCTCAACAACAGCAGTATATGATGCAATCCCAGATGAAACCAAGTACGATGATGCCGCAAGTACAGCAGTATTATGGTGGGATGGGAATGAGTGGTATGGTGGGACATGACGGCATGCAACGACAGCAAGCAATGACTGGCAATCCAATACAAAAATCGCAACCAGACTACAGTGCATATCAACAGCAACACTATCAACATTACTCACAAGTATGTTCATTCATATTTACTTATAAGAGTAGCTATTTATCTTTTCTTTTTCCTAAATGTAGCTCTATTTATTATATATATCATTATGAATGAATTAATATTCATTCATTCTTATTTGTTTGTTATGCAGAAAGATCAATCCATCTTGTTAAAAAAGTCAGTGTAATTTAAATAATACTTGCTTTAAGGATAGGGCTGATAAGTAAACCAGACACTGGTGGACAGAGTTAGACAATGGAATACCATCTGGCTAATAGAAATATTTTCTAATTTATTACACTGGTCTAACAGGTGTCATAAGTTTGCCTTTCCAAACACATTAGTCTTAAACTATATTCTATACCAGATGGAAATATTCTTAATGAACATTTAATTACCATTTAATGGTTATTAAGAATGGAAAATATAAGAATTGTAAATTATTATTTCAATATTTCAGAAACTTCAACATGCAGCTTTTAACATTAATACATGTAACTAATAAATTAACCAAAACTGCTAATTATGAGTCTTTCCTTCTGCATGTAGCTTAGTGGTAGAGAATCTAACCAGCATAATAATAATAATATAATGTTTTTATAATGCATTACACAGAGTCTCTATACGTTAACACAGAATAAGAAATGAAATGATTGTAATATTAAAATCAACATGGAAAGTCTAGTTTTGGGAATTATGCCAAAGCATCTGGAAAGTCATAGGTTTGATTTCTATCAGGGAGTATTTCAGAGTTCCCATTTCAGCTAGTGACAAATGATAAATTATTCTTAACAAACTAGTGACATATTTTCTGTATGACTAATAATTTATTTTTACTACTTCAGCCACCACATGGCCAGTATCCATCACAGATGCCACCATACATGCAATCTAGACAGCAGCAGCAACAACAGCAATCAATGTCACAGAGCCCATCTAACCTGTCGAGAATGATGTCATCCCATCAACCTATCCTACCTAAACCATCATCAGATATGTATGGACCAGCAATGGCTTCATCTAGATACCCTAATAATGTGGCAGCAGACTCCTCAATGGTAATTTGAGAATGCTTTATTCACAAATAATCTACTGTTTTAACATCTAGAATTTTGCAGTGCTTCTCAATCCTGAGCGAAATCATAATTTCCATTGCGACAAAATAAGGTTTTGTTGGATGTCAACCAAAGTGTTTCCATGACATTGCTAGAAAACACAAAGCTTTCGAGGGCACATGCCTAAGGAACATTGTGAAAATGCCTTGATTGATGTCCACGAAAACCTACTTTGTCATGATGGCAAATTGTACGATTTCGTGCATGTGATAAAGAAGCACTGTAAAAGTGCCATCATAAAACAAAGCAGGAATAGATTAGATTGATGATGTTTCTAATATCACAAAATTCTCTAAATGTGGAGTTTCCTGAATGATCTTTTCTACAAAGTTTGGATCAATGATTAATAAAACCTTATTTTGCAGACATTAAATGAACCATATAGTACAGGGTCAAAGTATATGTGTAGGGCTATCAATTTGCTCTGGTCATCAGAAATTGTTTGGCCAGAATTGAAATGGTCAAATCTTTGCATTGCTGGTCATCTTGACCAGTAACATTGAGCCACAAATGAGGTATGGGCAAGCTAAAATCAATTTGGCTGGTGATCATGACGTCAACTGACCAGCTATTATTTAAGCTTTGGTATGTATGAAAGTAAACATGAACTTACACTAATTTCATTTAGGAATTTCCTGGTCAAGGGATGAATGAACATGTGCAGCAACAGACTCAGTACAGAACACCGCAGTCCTACCCCAGCCCAGGAGGGATGGCACCATCGGATACACCAGGACGACCTGTCATTCAACGAGGAGGATACTATCCTGGTTATCCTAGTTCACCATCACCCAACATAACCATGGGCTCTCCTTTGAGGAATCTGCCTGAAGGTAAATTAGAAATACAAAGATTGTCATGACATAGATATTTTCAACATTGTCGCATGAACATATTTTAGGTGTGTATATGGTGTATAACTACTTTTGTCATTATTACTGTATACACTGATGGCAACAAGAGGTACAATATCTAATGGTCAACAGACTACCATTGATCAAATACATCATTGCATGTACTGTCCAATTTGCATGTTCCTTTATGTAGTATAATGATTTTGTAATTGACCTTAGTCTATTGACAATTACTGTTGCTAGTGCTAATCATGACCAGGGTGTAGCAATGAAAACAGTGATGGAAACATTATGTATATACAAATATAAGTAAACCAATGCAAACCTTTCCAGCAGTGTTATATCAAATATAATCAATGTGTAACACTTCTTTGGGATTTGCAAGAGATATCTATGATGCATGGTTTGAGACATTGATCTTTCTTTAGCAGCTCAATGTTATAGGCATTGCATACATTTTTATCATATATAATATTATACTGTATATAAACATGGGTGGTGACATAGCCTGGTTCAATTCCTGGTATCAGCATTATATATGAGTAGAGTTGCTTGTTGGTTCTCTGCAGTGCTTCAAAGGTTTTTATCTGGATTCTCTGGTGTTCCATCCCTCCACAAAAATCATCTTTTTAATTTCAATTCAAATCCCTTTCTCCTAGCCGTAGGATATCCTCCTTCCACTCCTAATGCTGGTCCTCTTCCTGGTCCACTTCCTGGCACATCATCTTTTCCAAACACTCCACCACCTTCATCAGGGATTCCACTTTTCTCTAGTAACACATCAATGTCATCACATGGTGGGGCTGCAGCTGCAGCGGCAGCAGCAGTAATGGCAGCAGCCAGCTCTTTCCCACGGTATTCAGGTGTTGGACAATCTTCAGTTGAGCAGCAGAGTTCACATGGATATGGTGGGTCACATGATGGAATGTCCAGCACTAGAGGACAGATGGGTGTTGTACCATCACCACAGTCTGCAACACCTAGCTTACCTCCGTCTGGTTTACCATCAATGGAAGGTTCAGCTGGAGGCAATAGTGTTGAAACTGGTATGTAGAACTGCTCCATCAGCAGGGCTTTTTATTTTATACCTTGGACTTGAATCATTTGAGCTCCAAAATAATACTCCTCCTAGTTTCAATTCTGTGTTGATCATGTCCCGGTGAATCAAAGGTGCAATGGATAATATGTGTTTTTTTTTGTTGGAGTTGTGCATTATTTTTTATGTTTCCATTTGTATTTGATGTCTTTTGATTTATTGAACGCATACCCTCTTTTAGGTCTTGTACCATCACCAACACTAAATATGTTGCCAACAGCAGAAGATGTTGAAGCAATGATTCAGTCCATGAGATCTGAAGATCTGAGTGAGGAAACAACATCTTCACAAAGCAGTTCACCTACTGTGCAATCATCATCATGTATAACAACAATGACAACAAGTAAATCTTCAAAGCAGCCAACATACACAAACTCTTCAGGTATTATTGCACTCATGTTTAATGGAAGATGATTAAACCATAATAGAGCTAACAACTTGAGAGAGTGTCTGAAGCCAGACTTGATGCATGAGGTAGAAAACCTCTCTTAAACTTCATTGAATAATGCTGTAGCATTTCTAAATGGATTCACTCCTCATCAGTGTAGAAACAGGGCTAAAAATAGCCAGTCATGATGACTGACCACAACAAACTGACACTATTTTACAGTAAATATAACCAGTAAGGAAGATGGTAAGAAGACTGACATGTATATGTAAGGGACATTTGACCAGAGTGTCCATTAACTGACCATCATTTTTAGCCTTGAGTAAAGCATTCTTCAAAGATCCCCCTTTTAGACCATGTTTAGCATTCTAATAATTTGGAGTTAAGATTTCAAGTGATTATGTGTTTCATTTAGAAGTGAATAACACAAGTGAATCTCAAGGTACAGCAGCATCGTCTCCTTCTCAGAATGTAACACCACACCCAACAACAAACAACACATCGCCTCTGTCTTCATTCTCTGAAGATTTTCCTGAAGTACCATCCCCTGAAGTATCAATCTCATCATCATTTGGTGATGATGATGAAGAAATGAATGTGCCTGTTGATGACATCACACCTACTCTAGGCCAATCACCTGGTTCAGCAGTAAGTTACCATGGTTACTAGAATGTAGTGTTTATTCTGCTTTCCTTGTACTAAAATAAGGGTTTTTACCACAGGCACAAAAACAGTCATCAAAACCGAGTTTACAACATAGCAAGGTAAGATGTAGTGATAGTGTCAGCACTGTTTTGGGATCAATTCCTGAGCTTGACATCACATGTAGGCAGAGTTTGGTAAGTCTCAGCTGGCTCTATGTAGTACAGTTTTCATCCTCAGCAAAATATAACATGGCACTTGGATCATCCAAGAAGTTGTTTCAGGCTTCACTTAACATTGACATTTTTTATTAATCTTTTCTAATAATTAAAATGTTCTTGTTGCAGTATTCACAGCTATACCAATTATCAGATGACCCAGAGAGAAAAGAGTTTTTGGATAAATATGCATTGTTCATGGAGAGTACAGGTAAATCCCTTTACATAGTAATGAACTGTTTTCAAGGTAAAATATTAAACTCTTGTAATGTCATATAAATAGGAAACCCAGTGAAGCAAGTGCCATTGATTGATAACAAACCACTAGATATATTCAAGTTGTACAAGGTTATCAAGCACTATGGTGGTCTGCAAGAGGTAAGGGTAAAGAATTACAGTGTTCTTTTATTCCTGTATAAAGGTCCAAATCGTCTAACAATCTATCAGAACAAATAAATGTTATTAAGGAAGGTAATTGATTGAAGGTAATTGATTCTTTAAGGTCGTCAAAAGAAAGTTGTGGGACAAAGTGATGAATGTCCTAGATATCTCACAAGTACAACAGACATGGTCGAGCCATATACGTAACCATTATACTCGTTATCTACTGGCTTATGAAATGACAGAAGTGGCCACACATAACTCTGTGGATAACCTACTGGAAGACACAGGAATCCCACCTCCTAATGCTACTGTCACATGCTCAGAAGCTATTTTTCCTTCAGTTACTGTATCATCAAATCAGTCTGGTATTAGTACAAGCAGTACATACCCTACAGGTTACAACCCCATGACTAATGGTCCACAGGGCTATAATAATTATCGTCACAATGATGGCTATCCTGACACTCCTTATGACAACAGCAAGTTCAACCCATCTGGCGTGGATTCACACCCACCAATGGCACAACCCAACAACTCATTCAATGTACAGTCTTACTCATTTAGTAACGAGAGGACTAATTATCCTAATTACAATCGACCCTATCCTTCCCATCATGCATCTTCTGCGCAGTACCCGGGATCTGCAGCTCTAACACAGCTTCTACAGCAAAGAACCCAGCAGTCATCCATGCAAGGGTATGGTCAACTAGCACCACGCCATCCTATGGGAGCACAACCTCAGATAAACTTAAGTCAGCAAGACCAAGTGAATGCCATGTGGGGCTCACAGTATAATGCAGCTTCAGAACCTGAACATATGTTTGATTATCCACCAAATGGACCTCCAACACACAGTATGCGACCTTCCATGTCACAAAACCAGTATCCTCAGGGACCAGGCTTTAATTCATTCTCCAGTCGACCTCAAGCACAATATCCACAAACGCCCCAACAGTATCACTCTGGTCCTCAGTCACATAGATCACCTTCACCGTCAGTACCCAGACAGCCCTTGACACCAACACAACAGCAACAACAACAGCAACAACAACAACAACAGCAGCAACAACAACAACAACAGCAGCAACAACAACAACAATCACAACATTCTTTACAAAAACCAAAGTTTCAACTTCATCATACAAAAAGAGAGATCTACTTTCCGTCTGATGCTGTAGAATCGACGAGACCAGTTTTCACCAAGAAAAGGAAGTTAACATCACGAGATCTAGGTGAGTATCGATTAACCTTGCCAACACGGCCGCCATGTTGGCTGAAAGAATAAATGTTTCCCTGATTCATGTGCTTTAGGATGAGTTTACGCAGGTTCAATCAGGTTCAGAGGGTTTTATTCTGAAGAGAATAAACATGACTGCCGTATCACAAAAGACAATTTTTGTACACTATGATGAATTACTATTAGTGGTTGTAGGAATATCCCTTATTCTGAATGATATCCTCACAGAGGGTGCCTTATCCCTCATAAATGATAGTCATCTTTATGAGTTCAATACGGTATTAATTAAACATTGTTGACTATTTCCAGGTCCCGTGGAAGCATGGCGCGTCATGATGTCACTGAAATCAGGATTGCTGTCCGAAACAACCTGGGCACTAGATACGTTAAACATCCTGTTATACGACGATCACACAGTTGGGTACTTTTTACTGTCCCATCTTCCAGGACTGTTAGACAATTTACTCGATCATTTCCGCCGATATCTGTTTGAGATATTTGGATCGTTTTGGGAAAAAGATGTTCAAAGTCAAATGGAATGTGCAGTGATAAAGAAAAGTGAACAAGAGGAATGTAAGAAAGCTGAAAAGAATGATGAAAAACTTGAAAAAGATGTGGGTAGGAGTTTGACGGCATTTATCGCTGCATCAGCTATCGATGATGATGATGATGAAACTGCAGGTGATAATAATGATTCGTTTTTAGGCCACATGAGTACCTTCATTCACATACAGACTCACTTAGGAACTGCTGTAAGTACAAAACGACCAAGACGTTTTTTATTAACTACAGAAGAAAAACAAGAACTTTCACTCGCGAAAGAAGATGACGAGACATGTTGTAAGTTAAAACATTGTAACTCGCCAGATGAGTCCAAACAGGCAGTTACTTGTCATGTTAAGCGAGAACACTTAGGTTCTTCAGAGGAATGTGCGGTTAAATGTTGTACGGAGAAAGCAGACATCAAAAGCGAGAATTGTTTTACAAACTCCCAAACAAATGAATGGGATTTTGATTCGGATTCGAGTTCTGATCTTGATGAGGAATCCACGACAGGTTGGTCTGCAAAGGTCGAGAAAAACGACCAATGTTTATCATCCATGGAAGATTTCACAACTAAGCTAAAGAAGGAACTTGATCTTGACATCGACTCGTTACAAGAAGAGTCCGAGTCGAACTCTTATGTCAAGTCTATTATCGAAACAAAAGTTGAACGAAGTAAAAACAGCACTGTTATCGAGGAAGAATCAATTCGTCAGGAAGATGCAGCTCTAAGTTTAAGAACCGAGTCAGATGATGCCATATCCAGGCGCTGCGTGTGCGTATCAAATATCCTACGTGGATTATCCTTTGTACCTGGTAACGATGTTGAAATGTTTAAACATTCTGGATTACTATTGATTCTCGGCAACCTCCTGCTGCTGTGCCATAAACATGCCAAACGTGTTTCATACAGGCATTCCTACATGCAGGATGATGTAGAACTCGATACACCCACAGATGATCGTGACGATTGGTGGTGGCATTCCTTAGAGGTACTGCGTGAGAATGCTTTAGTCATCTTCTCTAACATCTCGGGCCAATTAGACTTGACTGTCTTTCCCAAGACCATAAGTACTCCCATATTAGATGGATTACTCCATTGGTTCGTATGCCGATCAGCAGAAGCAACTGACCCAATGCCGACAGCTACTTTTGGTACATCGTTATCTGCTCAACAGTTGGTGCTGGAGGCGTTAGCTAAGATGAGTATTCTTGGAGGTAACGCAGAGCTCATTCTGTCCATGCCGACACCGTCTCTTCTAAAAGCTTTGTACGCAACACTAGTTCGTCTGCTTGGACAACGTGACAATCCAGTCACGCGAGAACTGACTCTAGTGGTGCTGTCTAATTTATCCCAGAGTGACAACGGGTTTGCCTGTCTTGTGGAAAAGAAACAGTGCATTGCGATGCTGTTACAGTTTATTGAAGACGCTGCCACCTCTATCAATGCATATTCCTCAGGTGGTTCTCTGGCTCAGGCTGGATTTCATTCAGAGGATTTCTGTGGTACTAGTGTTGATATGTTGCGTCGTGCTGCCTCGTCATTGGTTTGTTTAGCGAGATGTAAGCCAATCAGATCGTTGTTCCTGCCGTATCAAGAACGTTTGCTAACGCTTACCACTTTAAAACTGTTAGAAAGAATGATTGGATCTCAACTTGCCGAAGTAATGTACTATTTATCTAGATGATCGTGGCTGTTACCCAGGCCATCAACCTGAAGACAGCAAGTTGTACGGACAGTCGAGTGGCTTGGTCACCAAGGCCGGTAAGGTTGTTATGGTTACAGTAAATAAAATGAAACAATATCTCAGAAATAAAGCAGGTTCACGCCGCTGCATGCATTTTCATGAATTTTTGTACAAATCACTCAAATAAACGGCCTGAAAAATCAAGACGATGAATAGCAACAATACTGAGTAACAGAAATCCTTTGAATGTATTAAATACTGAATAAAATGTAGTTATTTTTCACTGTTAATTGCTGTGTCAAACCACAGTTAATACTTAACTATGGTCAAACTAGCGGCAAAGCCGTCCTAATTATCTTTGAGTGGCGGCTCTCGACGATCAATGAAATAAGATCTGTGCTCATCATTGTTTAGATTGCACTCTCAAATCAAACTTTCTTTTTCACTAAAGTGAAACCATTATTTTTGCTTTTGTTGGCAATCCAAAGATTCCAACTCCGGGCATCTCAGAAGGCTTGTCACGTGATAAGCCATTAGAAGGGAGGGGACAGTCTTAAAGTATTAGTAATAGGGTCAAACCCTCTTGATTTTTAGCTCTTGTTTCATTGGTCAATCCAGTTCACCACGTACGTCATCAATAAGTCGTCCGCTGTATCTGTGTGTTTGTCTGTGTGCGTTTGTCTCTTTCTGTAACGAATGTAGTATAATACTATGTGTAAATATCTAGAATATAAGATTTCTGTAAAGTCTTTTATAGAAGTATACAAAGAAATAGTGGCGTAAAAAAATACCCAAGAAAAAAGCGATATTAATAAGGTTTTGTTATGGGCTGTTTCTCAGATTATACAGGGTTTTTTGCACCCACTTTTGCTTGCTCAAAAAATAATATAGAATAAAAACATAGGAGATTTAATAAAAATGTAGAGATTATGTATATTAAAAGAAAAATAGTTGGAATAAACGAATCTTTGAAGAAATACTAGTTTTGCTTGGTTCTATTAATAAGATGAAAAAGACAAACAAACTTTTAAACACGAATTGAACGTCATTTATTTGTTGTATATAATGATTCCAATACTGACAAGTAGCCCATTGCATGGTCAATTCCATTCTAGAGATAAGATCAGGTCGAGCTTCATTCACTAAATCTTATTGTACAGAAGTGTATTGCTATCTGACTCGATGGACTGCGCCTCACTTATCGTAACACTATAAAGAAGGCATTCACTTGTGATCACGTGATAGCAGTAAGCCTTGCACCCAGTAACGTAACGTAGACAATAATGTGCACACAAGGTTTGACTGACAGATGGATATGATCTAACCAGTCCATTGGACGGGATCGCAGCATTTTCTACCAAAACGAAAGATCCGGTGAGTTGCTCTAGAAGAAAAAGAAGTACAAAACACCATGAATTTCATAGAACAACTTGCCCACCCCTCCCCCAGAGGGGGAGTACTTTAGCAGGAACTGTACAGTGAGTGTCCACCCCTTCCCTAGAGGGAGAGTACTGTAACAGGAACTGTACAGTGAGTGTCCACCCCTTCCCTAGAGGGAGANCTGTACAGTGAGTGTCCACCCCTTCCCTAGAGGGAGAGTACTGTAACAGGAACTGTACAGTGAGTGTCCACCCCTTCCCTAGAGGGAGAGTACTGGATAGTGATGTCTACTTACCAGGCCTTTCAAGAAACAAGTATGGCTCACGGATAGGCTTGATCGATGAGCCTTTGGGAAGATCGACACCAATAGACAAGAAATCAGAGCCATTTTGTTCTTTCATAAACACTTGCAGGAAGTAGAAGTCATTGTCTACCATGTAGATGGGCGTGTTGCTTTATCAATGATTGAAGGGGAAATAAAGATAAACATGAATAAACCACTTCTGGGGGTTAAACCTAATGGAAAAATGTGTGGATGCTCTTACTTTGTAGAGTTTAATCCTTAATCTGCTATTTGGTACCCCTTAGAATGTTATATATTAGGGTGTCTATCAGATAATAGGCCTTTTGCAACAACAGGTCACGTGACCCTACCCCCACCCCCGTAAAAATAGACGTTGTGTCAAAATGAACACCAGAAATGGAAAGAGCACCTCGATATTAGTAAGAAGGTAAAGTTTCAGCTTATAACATGTAACACAGGAGAAATAGCTTTAAATACAAAATCGAATATTTTATAAGGATTTGTATGGGAAAATATGCTGGATGGCAAGCTTTTGTTGCAAAAGGCTTATAACACATGATCTGCTCAATGATATTATATGAATATCAGCCAGAATGGCAGTTGTAATTCAGCTAGAATATATATATTTTCGTTTCTTTATCTGACTGTCACTTACTACTCATAGATAATAGGCCCCGTTAACGGTCACGTGTCTGTACTGGTGAGCAAATTTTTTCATATCTTAAATTGGTGAATCTTTTCAGCTTCTTGTAAAGAACTGAATGAAACGATGTGTAACCAGTGTGTTACGATATGCAGTTGTATTAAGATTTCTCGAAACAGATTGTAGAAAGTTTGTTTGCTCACCAGCCGGTATATTTCACCCATGGGAATCAAGATGTTCATTCACTTGCTCTCATTGAATTAATCAGCACGTGATTACTGAGCTGCAAAGGGCCTATTGTAATCCTCTCTGTTCCCCAAACAGTTTCTAAACCACAAGTACGGGAGCAACTAATAAAGTATATCGTATCGTTTTCGCTTTATTTTAGCAGTTTTATGCGCATGCGCAGTTGGTCCCGGAATTAACAAGATAAGCAATCTCGTACCCAGAGCCTGCGTTTCTTTCGGCCTGCGGCGAAGAACGAGGCATAATCCATTTTTGGGGCATGCGCAGCTTTCCGGAAGTGAAACATAATCAATGAAAATCATGCTTTCAAACCTGCTTTCAAACAGAATTCTGTGTTTACTTTCGATCAAAATAAGAATTAGAAATCGGGAACCTATTTTTTAAATTTTTTTTGCAAGTTTTTAAACGTATACGCTCTTATACCGGAAGTCCAAGAAATCCTGGTCTCAAAAAATGGATTATGCCAGAGCCCTCGTTCTTCGCCGCAGGCCAGAAGAAACGCAGGCTCTGGGTACGAGATTGCAAGATAAGAACATCTGTACTCATTACCTCCTTGTCCAGTCCCGATTCGTTTTGCTCCCAGGAGGCTTTACTTCTAATATCATCTCTACATTACGTGACATCACGTCCCTACTGACCCATAACTGACATGATTGGTCACATGACATTACGAAGAAGTAGTTTCCAGTCTCTGGAGCCTATGATAGAAAAGCAGTCAAATGATTACTAGCTTATTCATTACTTGTTTCAGTTGCACCGCTCCTTCCCAGTGCCTTCGCTTGCAAGGAAACTTAACGAAAAAACTCAATACATTTTGGCAACTGTTGAGGTACTGGGGACGAGAATGTTTTCCCATGATTCTTTTCGCGAGTCAAAAGGTCACATATCGATGACATTATACTTGCCCAAAATGAAACAATCAATCATAAAGTAATATTATTAATGTTTGACAAACTTACAAGGAAATAAGTCGTTAGTTTCTGTCCGTAAACCTCCCCTATGTCGATAGGCGCGTCCAGTGACGGTAGAATATCGATTATATTGGCTGCCTTGCTCTGATATTCATTTGATGATGTTAAATTAGCCACACTATCTCCAGGAATGGTTTGCCATAACTCTCTCCTCACCCCAGGATTTAGTGCTATAAAATCAACAACCACCCTGTTATAATATTGATGTGTGCGCATATAATAGCTTTTTTACATGTTGCTTTGGTTTTCGTTTATCAATGGTAGAAAACGATGATAAAATTACTTTTCTGGGTTATCTAGTTAGTTTTGCTGCTAATTCAGATCCGGTGTGTACCTTGGGTTGATAACTAGTATGAATACCGCCAACACGCTATACACTTACCGAGTTATTAATTTTCACTAGAGGATACCCTCCATAAATAACTGTTATTTTAGCGGTCTCTCTCAAAGAAGTTAATATTATGGGCTAACAAATCATTATCATCGGCTTTTTTGGTTTTGTTGTGTCGGGATGTGCGTGTGTTTACACTGAAGGTGTACAGTGCTGAACCAGACAAAACACTTTATACGCAAGCAGCCTAGTGATGATCCCAGCGATCCTGGCTCGATCCATGCGGTAAATCATATAACATGCGCTAATTGGACGAAACGTCCAAAGTGTAATAGTGATAGATGCATGGGTACTGTATGGTAATAATGCATGAAGGTTTTATTCATGTATAGCCAGGTAAAAAAAAAAAAAAAAAAAAAAAAAAAAAAAAAAAAAAAAAAAAAAAAAAAAAATTTGCGCAAGCTCAAAAGGTGCTTAATATCTAATTCATATATTCTCAATATTTTGTACTGACTGTTGAAAACAAATTTCCGGCTATTTTAACTTATTAGAAATGCATTCACTGATTACAAGTCGCTTGATATAAAGTAATATAAATTAACTTATATTAAATGAAGATATCGTTAATGTCAGATGACAAATCTCGAGGTTCTTATAATGAACTAAAAATTATATTAATACTTTGAGAGATATTACTGATTATGGGGACAACTATCTGAGGTTGCATGGAATAAAGTCTAGCCTATGCACAGAATAATCCCAATCAACCAGATGAACAACTGGCGGCGACCGTAAATAAAGAGGACTTACCTTGTATTAATACATCATGAATCGATAGCTAAAAGAAAAGAAACAAGTTGATGTAATCTGCGTGATTTTTCAGGAAAAAGAACAATCATATCATTCTGCTCACCTGAACGACGACAAAAAACAAACTGTAAAGCACAAAACACTTTGGGGGAAATGAAATCAGTGTACGAATTTTCATCGAATCTGATTGAAATCGATTCTCAATAATAGGACGGAGGGTTGAATCAAGTCAAATCGCACTGCAACTTTTCAGTTCGTGCTCAGCTGACTAATYAGTGAAAACAGAGACGACACTGACAACAATCGGCTCTTAAGGTAAATGTTGTTTACTCGACCATGCGCAGATAACATAAAAAAAAGCGGTAAAAGCAGACAGATCACTTTTGATGTGAAGGAGTGGTTATATGAACAATAGAAACCATCTGGAGAACAGGAAACAATTGGAAAAAATACTATTCTTAATACAATCATGGATTTCAAAAACCAATTGAAATAATGTGAAGCAGTCACCTTCCAAAGTCCCCAAAGGACCTTTTAGTTTAGCTTATATTCGACAAATAAACTTAGTCAGAATAATATAGTTAGGAGAACAGCCAACAGTCACTTGATTGTTACTTTTCGGCATTAGAAATGAACTCTTGGAAAAGTGTTATTATTCTAGTTACTTCAAGTAGCAACACAACATGGCAAGGTTAGAGAAAGTAATTTTTATGATAACCACTTTAAGCAGCTGTTTTCCTTTTAATCCTTGAAGCAGGGGAGAGGGAAAAAAAACACGCAAATTACCGATTCCACAGCTGCGCTTCGCTCTCACAGTGAACTACGGCTGTTACAGCTTTTCGTTTGAGCATTTTGAACTGTAATAAATATTAGACGCCACACAGGCATTGTTTTCAGTTTTTCCAATTTTATTTTCAAATATTAATTTATAAAAACATATTTCAAACACAACTGATAGAGCGCCATACAGGATTTGGTTTAACTCAAAGCAAGCATGGTAAGCATACATGTGACTTTTAAAGGCTAGATATATCATGTCATGTCTTAATGACCAGGAATTGAGTTGCTGTCTGTCCATGCATAGTTCTTGTAGCTCTCTTTACCTCTCCATTTCTCTTGATTCCTACCAGCATATCATGAGGTGTTTCACGGTAGTACTTATGGGATGCATATGAATGAAATGCATTCATTTCATGTGTTTCTTTAAAGATCGTTTCTCTTGAATTACTGTGACGCTAAAAAAAAAAACGAGTATAAAAAAGGTAAGGGATTATTGTGATGACCTTAACAAGCAGATGGACAGCATACTTACCGTTGCCCTCAAGGAACCGTCTCTTCTCATGGATAGATAACGACCTGTTGCCACGCTTTTTATCTTGACAAGACTCGGTCCAAACGACTGCATCTCGAACAAAACTATAAAACAAATAAATTATTGGCAAATTAAGTTCGCTGGTTGACTTGTCTTTAGGTCACAAGTAGTTATGCCATACGTTATTACGTCACTCACCGTGTTTGCTGGATTGCATGACTGTTCCTCTCACCAGACCATTTGGTAATATCTGTAGATGATAGCCGCTTCGACAAAAGATCTTACAATGCTCACGATTGGTTGGTTTCTTCGTGGTGATGTAAGTACTTCGCATCCAGTTATTATTGATTCTTGGAGATGGCCATTTAGTATTTTTATTATACGATACTTTCGTTGCTTGGTTTTTGGTTTTGTTTCTAAATCTTGACGATATTCCAGTTTTATTGCGCAGTTTTTTGCTCACAATTAATGGATCGTAAAACACGAGCACTATAAGAAGCACGAGATGAACATTTTTGACCATTATTCTTATGAGTTCGCTAATCTGTAAAAAATAAAAACAAAAACTTACAGTTAATACTTGTATTCGTATTTAACTCATAATATTTCATTTAGCCGAAGGCTTTTCACATTTCACACACAACAATGATATTAGCTCAGAACACACCAGTCCCCCCCAAAAAACACATGCATCCAGTCCCAACGACAGGAATTGAAATTCCATGGATGTTTGAGCTCCTTCATCAGTAAAATGCAGCAATTGATTGATCGTAGAGTTTTGCCCTGAATTACTGATAGGATAGATTGTTTATTCACCAGCATGTCAGTGGTACAGTCGGGTAGAACGTCGTCAAAAGGAAAAGACCCGATATGATACAAACTATCATTTTTATAACATTTGAAAAGTATTTGTTAGCTTTTTTTCTTTTGGAATAATTCCCTTGTGGTATTTGCAATACGTGCCAAATCAGTGAAAGTGAACAAATTTGTTGAGAGAATGTTGTAATTGTGTGCCTGTCTTTCCTGCATATAACATGTGTAGATAATGTCTTGTTGTTTAATTCTAGATCTAAACTAGGCAACTATCTACTGACAGCACTCGTCAAAATAGTTATGGATAATACTGAACTTACCTCCCAGCAGAGTACTTGTTAAGGTTGTTTTGTGTTGTGAAGTTGGTGATTGTAGAATAACCTCTCCGAGGTACTGAGGCAAACAGTACTGGTCGTGTTGTTCGTGTCGAAGTGCAGGTGACGTTGAGCATCATAGGACGATATTTTATAGACTTATTCCTCCGCAATTAACACTTAAACTAGACGATTCCATTGTGTTCTACTCATAAAGAAAGAACTACAAGGATAGCAAATGAGAAATACATTCATTGGTTTCACGCTAGATTAACAAGTTAATCCAACTATAAAACATTGCAAAACTGAAGGAATTGTAAGCATGCCGGACGTGGTGGTAACCTCTTGTGTCGTTTTCCTGCCTCGGTTCACTTCATTGTTTATTCACAATTGTTTTTGTTTTCATAAAATAATCGACTTTTGTTTTGTTAAGGATTTTTCGAAAACAAACGCGGTAGGCATGTTCTAAGAACCTCATCACATCAAGGAATGATTTGCGAAAAGATGAATAGAAGTTAATTACGGTGGGACCGCCTTCCTCCCAAAAACAATTCTTTGGAACTCTATGAATACAAACATAAAAAGAAGGTTGTCTAGTGGGTGGGAAGCCATCAGACATGTCAATAGAAAAACAACACAATACAACAACATTTCGTGACCAACAAACTTCATACTGAGAGTCTGAGCTGAGATTTGTAACGGATCCATCATTTAACGCGTTGGGATTCAAATGTTGATCTCACATTGTACTCGAATCAGCCAGTCATTTAGGAACGGCATTGACACCGCATAATAAGTAGCGGTATGACTTTGTATTCTAAGTCCACTGGTAACAACTTATTCTTCAAGACTAATGAAATATATTTTGCGTCTTGTAGAACGAGTCTTTTCGTCTATGTAATTTCCGAACCAATCAGACGACATTTTCACAACGATTTGTATGTTTACGCATCAAAAATAAAAATGAAGATCAGTTAATTCGATAACCGATCCAAAGTTTGTGTATTCAACAAATTTTTGGTGCTAAAAATTACACTAATTGAAGCCGTAAAGAGACTTGCAATGCTGAATTCAGGAGATATGTTATGCGGCTAAGATTATGAGAAAATCGGTTTATGTGCTTAAAGGTTGATCATCTTATTATCGATGATCAGGCCCATCATGAATATATTATACGATCCACYAGCTATACCTATTTACGATGTTAATCGTACTGACTTAAAAATAACTATACGACGTGCGGCTTTTTCGGATCCCCTAAAACCCCTAAATATTTTCATTGTATTTGATGATCAGTTTGTGGATGCCAACATTCAATATCGACATCCATCACTAATTATGAAAATGAACATTGACAATCCTGCTAGTCACTAATCCGATTTGATGCAGAAATAACGGCCTTAAAAGATAGATCTTTTGACTCCAATCCTCAAATCCAAGCGGCATACCTTATCGATCTTGTTAACCATGGTTTTGAACATGTAATACGCTTTATCCCATCAGCTTATGACATGTTTAAACTGGGCCATTTGCAAATGATTCTGTATTGATCATCTGCCCGACTGAGCAGGCGGTACAAGCCAACCCTTACACTCTTATTAAAGGTCTTTCGATCGGTCACCAAAAGACGAGCCTGGATTTAACTCATACTGAGTTAACACAATGATTCTCTTTCAGGTTAGATTGTTTTGTTTTACTAAGAACAAGCATGATTGTACTCATGTCCTCTAACAGCTCGTGCCTAATGTATAACGGCATTTGGTTGTACATTAACTATTTCTTATCCTTTACAGCTGGCTGTTTGTGTTGTACTTACCCTGTGTTTAACTTCAGCCACCCTCCAGGCCTCATTCAGTTCAAATACAACCCAATGCGTCAAAGCAAACAATACAAGCGCAAGAAAAAAGCTCCGATTGAACAGAGAAATCTTTAGCATCCCCAAGGCTGCTAGCCCAACTCATACTCGTGTGATACGCCTTTATTGTCGAACTGGTTATCTGATGGCAGCTTACAACAGACGACTCCAAGGCACAACAGATATCAAAAACAACCAAAGTAAGACATTCCCTTTTTTACTATTATCGCTTTCAATAAATGAACACCTATTCAGTACCATTCGTTTGTATTCAATTCCTTTGTTTTCTGAAGCTTGGTTCGAGTTACAGTCATATGGACAAAGTATCGTACGACTGAAAAGCCTGGGAACTGGAAAGTATTTAGCAATCAATTGGCAGGGGAAACCGAAGATGCAGGTACTATTAAACAGTTTCATTTTCTACTAAATAAAACTTGTAGCATTTGACTAATGTGTTAAATCTGGCCATGCTTAGGGCCGTCTAAGAGAAGAAAGCCTATTTCGAACTAAGCTAGAAAGAAACGGCTTCCACAGCTTTGCCTCACATAAGTATTATCTTCGCCATCGTCATGACCTCTTCATTGGCATCAAGAAAAACGGATCAGTCAAAACACCGCTGACCACGATGCCAGGACAAACAGCAGTACAGTTTATAGTTCTTTACTGAATGCGTGGTTTTAACTTTGAAGAGTACCTAATATTGCCAAGAAATGAATCCCAGTCAGACTAGATGTGTGCGCATCCTGTCTCAGTCAGACTAGATGTGTGCGCATCCTGTCTCAGTCAGACTAGATGTGTGCGC